GGCGCGGGCGAGCGCGACGCGCCCGGCGAGGGACCCGGGAGCTGAGGGGCAGAGCGGGGCTCGGCTCGTCCCGCGGGTTTCTCCGCCGGGCAGCGCGGTGTGGGCCGCGTGGGCACGGTCCCGAGCCCCGCGTGGGCCGGGGGGCCGGCGGGGCCGCGGCCCGGGCTCCTGAGGCGGCGGGGCTGCGTGCGCGAGCTTGGCGCCAAAGGTGCCCTGGGGAGAGGCGGCTCGGGCGGGAAGGGAGCGGTTTCCCCTCCGCAGTGCCCCTCACCCGGAGTCTGTAACTCTTGCTTTGGGCTCTTAATAAAGCGTTTGATGGGAGCATAAAAGTGGGATACGATGTGTTAGTGCGGATTGTCGTTTTTTTTTTTTTTTCCTGGTTTCCCCAAATAGTCAAAGTAGTTTCCGTTGGTGGGACACTGGTGGCACGTCGGTGAAATCCCCTGTAGGAAGTCGTCTGTGGTAGTTCTTAAGGCGTTTGTGTATTTTCCTTTAACCTGCTTGCTAGGGTGGCTTTGATTTAACGGCGAATGCTCCATAGTAGGGTTAAATGTGCTCAGAGTTCTGAATGCATACCCTGTAGTTCTTCAGCCTTTTTTAAGTTACTCGTTACTTCTGAATTATTAGTAAGACTGTGCAGTTGGCTGAGTTTTGTATGCATACAAGTATTTGTAAGGGAACATAACTGTGCCGTGTGAGTAAGGTTAAGAGTATATGTGGCAGATCAGCATACTCTAAATAGAGGCTCTTGTTCATGACCTACTTTCTTTGCTGAAAACACTTTGTTTTCTAGTTGGATTTTTTTTTTTTTAGGCCTGTGTGCTAGACAGAAACTGTCGAGGAAGATTCCTCATGATAAAACAGATGTTTTAGGTAGGAGGTGGATGATTTTTATTTGATGGTATTTTCAAGCTTAATCAATCTGAGACGGTCTCCTAAGGCTGTGGTACAGTTCAAAGGCTGCATCACAAGCCCTTGAATTCTTCATGTCAATCACAGCTGCTGCAAATTAACCTTTTTGGTATCTAGTGCCAAATTTATTTGTGAAAACTGTGTAGCTTGTTGGCAGTGCCAGTCCAAATCTTGGTGCCAATGGTTCACCCTTGTTGCATAACACTCTTTAGATGTTACAGATCATGGCCAAATCTGTGCTCTCCTTTGTAAAAAAAGATGTAGAAAAGTATTTTTTTTTATTTGAGTTCATTGTTGATTGGTGCTTGTCTAAGTTAATGTGTGAGCCTAATAGGACAGACCTACATTAATAACAGGCCTGGCTGTCTTTGCCACTAAGCTATTCAACAATGTTTGCTTTTCTCAGATGAGGTATTTTTCATCTGATGTATGTCTGACATGAAGGTCATGTTGCTGTTCAAGCAAACTAGCGAGAATTTAATTACAAATACAACAGTCAGAGGAAAGCGGAAAGCACTGGAATTAGAGCTGACTGCAATTAACATATCAGTGTAATTTTCACTATCATGATAGAAATGTGGATAGTCTAAGCCTATGATATTTATAATATTTGAAGTATTGCTTGTGAAGTCATTGTCAAAAGATGTTTGATTCACCAGACAGGAACTTTTTGAGCTTATCCATGTAAGTTGCTATAATCACTGGTAATTGATATGTATGTTAAAATTATTCCAAAATGTTCGTGAGATGCTAACTGTGCTGAACCTCAAAATATTATTGACCTTGGTGTGGACAGGCACATAAAATTAGTTAGAAATGGCTATTCTGAATTCCTAGCAATACTGTGAGATGTTGAAATCAGTAGGATGCTAGCATTTTTGGAGGTCATGTCTGAAGAAGCAGGTTGAACTGGTTTTTTCTTTAGTAGTGGAAAGAAAAAGACATTCTCAAAGGACATTGTTTTTCCAAATATAATGGATGTGAGAGATGATGAGTCTCCAGCTATCTTCTAAGTGCAATTCTGCCATCTGTCACTTGAGCAGGGAAAAGTGTTTAATGAGCCTTTAATGGAACTTTGTGATTTCAAATCCTTATCAGAGACACGACGTGTATTGATTCAGGTACCTTTGATAAGCTGCACTGCTGCAGTCCATGCTCCTCCAGAGTATGGATGTCCCTTTCAGGAGTGCACCTTGGGACAAACGCTGGGCTGGGAGATCTCCATGCTGCCAGATGTTCTGCAACAGCTTCTTTTGGGCCTGTTGATCTTGACCAGCGGATGCTCAGCACTGCAGTGGTAGAAGAGGAACAGGTCTGGGTTCCTGGGGGCAGGACACCACTCTGAGAGACACTGCAACATTTTAAGCCAAACTTGATTTTAATTTGGACTGCAGTCTCTGCTCTGTTGTCTGTAGACTGTGGAGTGGTAGCCAGGCATCCCAAGCTGCCAGGTTTTTAGCTCCACTTGCTTCCCACGGAGCCTGTTTCACACAGTTCCACCTGAAGTCCTGTTGAGTGCTATTCTACACCCTTCTGGTAACAGTGTGATCTTACAGAGTGTATAAAAACCTAAATCTAAGATGGAAGTGAAAAATTTTCCTTTGAACATAAGTAAAATAGCAATAATAATTCGATCTTATTTTTAATTAGCGGTTAATTGTGGTGTCTGGCAAATGACATTGTGCAGAATACATTGCAGTAATGTGGAAGTTCAGGAGTTGATTAAACCAGAGAAGTCTAAACCCAGTAGAAGCTCTTCCCTTTTTACTCAGTTGTAGACAAAACCCTCTCTTCACACATTTGTGTAGGAGCTCTTAGAAGTCTGAAAACATTATCACATTGCCATAAGAGTAACTCCAACAGCCTCAAGTCTTTATTTCAGAGTCAGTGATGTTTTTATTCTCCAAAAAAGTCCTCATGCAAAGTGTTACACAGCTGTCATGCTAGCAGAGCTTGATGGAAATGACAGAGCGAAGAGAACCCTCAAACACTGTTCAGCAGAGTTGATTTTAGCACTGTGGAGTAGCAGCAGACTGCTCTTTGAAATAGCAATCTCATTTCAATTTTAAATGTATGATTGTATCTTGCCTGTGATAGTATCACTGCACTACTGTAGTGTTGCTGAGCGATCTTGAGAGAGCAGCTGGGAAGGTTTTCTGGGATGGGAGGTTGTGGCTCTGCAGACCCTTCTTCTCTGTCCCAGCAGTGTGGATGAGTATAGGGGAGGTTGGGTGTGTTCTCACTGGGGGGTTTCTTACAGTACCAGTCCTTGGAATGGGCAGCCATTTCCAAGTGGAAATCAGGTTTGGGTTGACTACTCTTCAGAAATTTTGTGAGGGCTAGTGTTCATTGGTTAAAAGTGACTAAACGTGCATGAGTTTTGTTGGAAATTCCTCTTTGTTTGCTGCTGTTAGTGCATTAGTGATGTGTAATGGATTTTTATTATTTCAGTTGAACAGTGGGATTTTTTGAGGTTTTTTCCTTTTTTTCCACTAGATGGCCCAAGCATGCTTCCAAGTACCCCATGAGAACTGAAACTTAATTCATTTCTCTTTTAACTGAAGTAAAAACTCTACATTGTGAGGCATATACAAACCTGTGTGGTGCTTTGTGTTTGTTTAAAATACAAACACCTTATGTCAACCACGAGAGTGTTGGTTAATATAAGGAATATGCGGTAATGAAAGGTTATTTTTTTCCTTGATTAGAACATTTTTTATCATGTGTAGTATAAAGCTGTTTAGTTTTGCATTGAGAAGAGAACTGGTGTGCTTTCACTGACTGTGCTCCACAGTAATTCAGGTAGTTCAGGGAGAGTCTGAAAAGGTGTTGGTCTGAAGTTTGTCCATAACATCTCCTGGGAGTGAGACTGGTGTTTTGCAGGCCACCATAATTGATTTTTTTGGGGGGTGGCTGGAGTTTTGCTGCATAGGGTTTTCATAACAGCTTTGCAGTTCATTTCGGTAGTGTATAGATGTGGGCAGTGGGTTCTGAATAGGCTGTTAAATGGATGGACTAATTCAGTTTAACAAACATCAAGTAGAACTTGTTATCGTGAGTGTCTTTTTGGTTAGTGGAGGAAGATGGATACATACTGAAGGTAGCTCTCCCATGGGGGTGATTGGACACTGGAATGAGGCTGGAGAAGTGGTAGGATGTTCGTCCATAGAGAGACCTTCAAAACTCAACAGGACTGAGCCCTGGGCCAGCTCTGACTGGGGTATTGAGCTACATGATCTTGAGAGGTCTCCTTCAGCTTTAATTATTCAGCAATTCCAAAATGAGATTTTATTAGTGCCTTTGCTCTACTGCTGTTTAAACCAAAAATAAATGGAAAATGGATAGTTGTCTTTCTGAGCTAGTTGTAACCTCAGTATTTTGAATTAACTTCCAGCTTCCCTTTGCTTCTGAGGGCCTGGATGTGGTGGTATTAGACCACCAGAAAAAGGATGTCTGTGAGTGTACTTTTCTTCCTTAACTTGCAATCCCCACTGGGAAAAAAAACAAAAACCAAACCATTTAAAGGAAGTGCTCTTTTCCTTCATTTCACTGCTGCACTTGCCAAGTGCCATCTCTTGCCTTATGTTTGGTATTATTACTTCTAGTGTCTCTTTTTAACAGGTATGACAGATTTTCTCTTATTCCATTTCTTAGGATCTTTCCTAGATTTTCTCTTCTGCTCTTTTCCTTTATGGAAAAGAGACAGCTGTTGTCCCTTCCTCTGCATCTGACTGTATTCCTTTTTCCCTTCCTTTTCCCATTGTTAGTATTTGTCCTGTCCTGCCACTTCCTGCTTCTCTTCCCTTTCTGGCTGGAGACAAACCAGTGTGTTCACATGTACCAGAAGGATGGTCATAAATGGAGTATTTTGTGACAGGAATATTGCTGCCTGCAGTCAGTTCTGTAGACAGAGGTAATCTGCCCCAGTTCACAGCCCTACCGATACGTGTTCAGTGCTGCATTCGCAGTAGTTTGGTCTCTGTTCTCGTTTCTTCCAAAGTCAACAGCTTTCAGTTCATTGAGCAATGTGCCACTTGAGCCAGGTACAGAGAAATTTCTAAAGATACTGTTTTTGTGATAGATTTGTATGTTTAATGGGATTTCTTTCCTAGACTGGTGTACTCTTTACTTTATGTAGGACATTGGCTGCATGGCCTCACAACTGCTGTTATTAGTAATACAGGCTTAACTTTGTGACTGGAAACTAAACTGATGAAAGCAATTCCATTTTTAGCATCCTAGTAGTGGAAAACATAGCCATAGGTATACTAAAATATTAGCAGCAGCATTTTTTGGTTAGTTGCATAAGTTATAGTTTAGTTCTGATTTTTTTTTTTTTTTACTAAACAAATTTAATAGCAAGTATGAAATGGGGCATGTTTAAAAAGTTGTGTTTCTAGCACATCTTTGGTGCAACAGAAACAGGTGTAATTTGTATACATATATTATTGCAAGTATTATATGGAACCTTGGTGTAAGAGGGACATTATCCAATCATGTTGTGAAGGTTTTTCAGCTAGTATACACGTCACATGTTTCTAGTAGCTGTAGACAGTTAAAGCAGGCAGTAATATTTGTTTTCAGGCAAAGGTTTTATTTCATGTATCTGTTGTATGTAGTACAATAATATGCTTATTGTGTGTTTTTGCATCTGGAGGTACAGAAATTATATTTTAGGGTGAACAGAAATAGTGATGGGCAAGGTGTCAGAAAGGTGTTGTGTTTCATACCTATCTCAGTGCATTTACATAGTGGTTACCCCTAAATACATGTAGGCATTTTGGATAAGTGGATGTAGTGCCTTTGGGTGCATGACATAGCAGCCGTGATGTTTGAAAGCTGGACCAAGCTGCAAAAGGTTCAGTATCAGGTGAGAGCTTTGAAACCACCTCCTGCTATAAGAAATATTCATCCAGTTCAGTTTAAATTTTGTTTAACTTACAGCTACAGTGGTTTCAGCATTGTCATACTGAAATCTTCACACCAATATCAGCTCTGTTTGGTTGGCAAAAGTAATTCTAAAATCAAACGGCTTATTGCAATCAATAAAGCATGTTCTCATGGCTAAAATACCACCTCCAGTTTCTGATCTTTTCAGAGTAGTTCAGAAATAATAACTTAAAATAAAAGGCAACATGTATGTATTTAAAATAGTGTTAATGTTATTATTTTGTCCTTATATTCCTTTTTGTTCTTCACTAGATGTCACTAGTAGATTTGGGAAAGAAACTTTTAGAAGCTGCACGAGCAGGTCAAGATGATGAAGTTCGCATTTTGATGGCAAATGGAGCACCTTTTACCACAGACTGGGTAATGACAACTTTTACAGTGGAGAGAGTAAATCATCTTACATTTCTCACCTGAAGAAAGAAATACTATTCTTAAAATTTAGCATTTATATTACAGTCCTTCTTGGAATTCTGCATTCACATCATCTAATGTCTAATTCAAAATTAAACTTGTCTGTTTCTTCATTTGACTGCCTACTGATTTTAGTAACAGACTGTGAAGGAGCTCATTCTGGTGACTTTCAAGATGAACTTTGGAATGGCTAATGGGAAAAAGTGGCTATCATCCTCCTACTTAAGTGTTTATGCACTTAGTCTAGTAAGAGGTCCGAGTTATGAAAACAGTCCTAACTACCTAATATGTGCAGCTGAGAGTTCCCTGATACAGGGGTACTGAGTTGTCCTTTGGAGGAGCTGATTTTTTAATAGATTGTAGCGAGAGGTCAGGTACCCAAAATTCCTGGAGTGTTTACAAGCTCTTGAGAGCCTTAATCTGCTTAGTGACCTAACTTCCAACTTAACTCTGTTTTGAGTAGGAGGTTGGGCTTAATTGACTTCCACAGGTCCCTGTTGACCAATGCTAAAAATGGGGTTAGACGTCTTGAAATGTTACATGTCAAAAAGACAGAAGAAACAGAGTAAAAAGAAAGCAACAACAAACTTCCGCATTCAAATTCTGTAAAAGCATCAACAGCTTCTCTCCTTGAGACTGCAAGATAAAATGGTTTTGAAGTGGTGGCTTGACACCTGGGGTCGGTATCTTGAGAGTAAGAAGAAATGCTTCGTACTGACGTCTGTTAGATCTGCATGTTTTGTGTTCCATTGCAGCTGGGAACATCTCCTCTTCATCTAGCAGCACAGTACGGACATTACTCCACCACAGAAGTGCTGCTGCGAGCGGGCGTGAGTCGGGATGCCAGAACCAAAGTGGACAGAACTCCATTACACATGGCAGCATCAGAAGGCCATGCCAGCATAGTAGAAGTCTTACTTAAGGTACAGACTGCTGAAACAAGTCTGAAGTGGGGTTATTGCAATGGTTTATGATCAGATGTTTGCAATTTGCTTTTAGTCATGAAACCAGCGTTGAAATGACGTGAATAGTTGAACTTTGCACGTTGGGAGCTTTGTTTTCCAATTCAACTGTACTTTATTTTACGTTAAAATCATCATGATTTCAGGTGAATTATTTACTGCTGTTTCAAAATAAGAATACTCCCTAATTTGATATTGTGTTGAGTAATAGATTTTAGAAATAAGATGTACTTTAGGGAATCTGTAATCCTTTTGAGGTAAATAATGTATTTGGTAGATAGATTGGATTACTTTTAACAAATATGTAAATGTAAGATAACAGGGCATTCCTTATGGAGAAAAACAATGTAGGGCCTCATTCTGTGACCAGCCTTATTTAATTCAGATATTTCTAGTGACATAATTTATGCAATGATTTTGTTTGTAGCATGGTGCTGATGTCAATGCGAAGGACATGCTCAAAATGACTGCACTTCACTGGGCTACTGAACATCACCACCAAGAAGTTGTAGAACTCTTGATAAAGTATGGAGCAGATGTTCATGCTCAGAGTAAATTTTGCAAAACGGCATTAGATATTGCAGTAGACAATGGAAATGAAGACATTGCAGAAATATTGCAGGTAACTTCTAATTCCTCATGTGAAGGGAACTTGCAGCAAAGTACTTGATTACATATGTCATAAACTAAGCTTTTACTGTAGCAGCTGTGACACCGTATGTTGATAATGCCACACTCCAGTCTAATTCATTACATGAAATGAGATTTATATTAGTAAACATTACTTGGTCAAAGAACATTTTCCACCTACAAAGTCAAGGATAAGTATTCTTTATTTTCTTAAATTTGAGTGATGTAATACACAGTGGTAGGTGGACTCCTTACAACTGAGGTATAAAAAATTAACTGCCTTCTCTGACAGTAGATTCTGACTATCCCCTAGTATTCCGTTAGCTTCATATATGGGTATTAATTTCCTAGTTGGAGTTCAGATAGGACAGAAAAGATGCCGATTTTTCCAGAATTAGAAAAGTAAGATTGAATTGTTGGATAATTTATTTTAATAGATAATTTCATGGAAATGTGTACTCCCTGTTCAATAGTGTTGTTAAAGGCAAATTAAGTGATAAGTCTTACTGAGTAAAGAATGCAAAGCAAATGAAAAATATCCGCTGTATAAATTATGCCACTCTATAAATCTGTAGCCTCCCTATGTCTTTAAATATGTGTCTGGTGTGTTCCTTTAGCCTCCTCCTCCTAGCAGAAAGGGTGAAGTAAACAGAAGTTAGTAATAATTCATAGAAAGACAAAACGACTGCCATGTCCATTGCGGGGCAATTGCAAAGCTGTCAGTGTAGCTTTTCATGATATGTATCTGCCCCAGCAGTCTTGGTTCTTCAGACTTCTCTTTTAGATAAGTGAGCTTGCATATCTGCTAAAGAGCCTTGTCCTCATTGTCTACATAACTGGTAGGGACAAGTAGTGGTGTGTTGTTAAAATCTTTCACTCCAATAGACTCACTCTCTTTAGATTTCAACCAAAAAAAAAAGTTTCTTATATACTTGGAGATAGGACACGATGTATGTGTATTGCATGAGTATAATGAGGGAGGTCCTCCTTGTTTGTGTGAAGCATGCAAGAATTCTAGCCCTTACACAAGGTCAACAGCTCCTTTATACCTGCAGTGGGAATGATGTTGTTACCTTTGTGTCCCAGATTGCAATGCAGAACCAAATCAATACGAATCCCGAGAGCCCGGACACTGTGACGATACACGCAGCCACGCCGCAGTTCATCATCGGACCTGGAGGGGTGGTGAACCTAACAGGTCTGGTATCTTCTGCAAATATATCCAATAGAACAGGTATTTACATGCCTAAAGGATAGCTACTGGGATTTTATACTTTCTCTGATTTTCACCATTTATTGAAAAGGTGTGAGGAAAAACAGTGGTAAGAATAGTTAACCATATTCCTTGTCAGTGTTTTTTGTGTGTTGTAAATATGTACCTACCTAAAACAACAATCTTCACGGACATAAATTATCAGAAGTTTTATTTGCTTAACAAACTTCACTTCAGAATAGCACTTTGGTTCAGCAGAATGCTGAAAATGGAATGTGTGCTGGAAGTTTCAGTGCAATAAAAATAGAAAAAGGGACTTTGCTGGTTTTAAATTTATCAGCTAATTTTTTTTTCATCCTTCTAGATGAAACAGGAGTATCTGCTGTACAGTTTGGAAATTCATCAACATCAGTATTAGCTACGTTGGCAGCTTTAGCAGAAGCATCAGCTCCACTGTCTAATTCTTCAGAAACACCAGGTTAGAAAGCTAAGTAATTCAAACTAATTTAATAAATTTAAAGTACGTAAGTTAAAGTTTCCTTCAGCATTGAAGCATTTCCTTCAGCAGTGAAGTAGTGTGGTAAATAATGATTCTATGGGTATAGATAAGGAAGGAGAGCAAGGGAGGAATAATGACCATATTTATGGGGCTGTTTTTTCTTTTTATGTAGAATAGCTTCTTTTTAGACAAAATCTTCCCTTTTCTTTCAAGGTTTGAAGAAGTTCTAGCCATGTTTCCTTCCAGAACTAAAACCCAACACTGAGTTTGACACTGAAAGATCAGAGCTGTTTGCCACAGCACCTAGTATTGGCACTTGAAATTTCGACTCTTTTGTGACAGTGGTCTTTCTTACTGCTGAGACTGTATTTGGAAGCCAAATCAAGTTCAATACAACCCCACTTATTCATGTGGGAGTTGCTATTTTGGTTTCCTGAATAAACACTCTGTGAATATTTAAGCAATGTTATAGGATAGTAATCTGTAAACATAAAGATCTTCAGATGACAATGTCTGCAATCATTATTTCAACTACAGAGTGATTTTTCTTTGTATGTTATATTGTAATTAACTTAAAAGATGAAAGCTTCAGAGTTTTATCTGCCTTCTGTCATCTTGAACATCACAACACAGTCTGTAGGGTTTTAGTTTCATCTCTGTAGATAGAGAACACTCTAATGTCTGTTATTTAAATCAAAGGCTTTGCTTTTACCCTGACAAATTGAAATAAAATACAGACCTAGTGTTCTTGAATTTCCTTGATTGTGCTACCAGTGATCTTGCTCTTTTTCTCAGCATCTTGTTGGATGGTAGCACAATACCCCATTTGCAGCATACAGGGCAAGCCTGGGGTATGTGCTGTAGTTCTGAATGCTGACTTTCCTTGTCCTACCTTGATTTATAGAGCTGATACAGAACTGTGAGAGTTCACTGCTTTATACTCATTATTGAATCATGAATATGAAATAGTTGAGCTTGAATTTTTCACTTTTACCTATGAAATTATATACATACAAGGTTTGTTTTACTTCTTAAGCTTTATCTTTCTTCTTTGAAGGTGTAAAAATGTCAGCTGTGCACAACTTTTCGTTTAGTCTTGTTTCATACCTTGTATAAGAAATAAACTTGTTTGAAGTACTCATGGAGTACAGACAAAACTTAAGATTCTCTAGGGGTCCTTTAGTCTATTACCATCTTGAAGACCATTATATTAAGTAGAGAAATCTAAGCTGGGTCCTGACATACAGTGGCAAGGCATTGGTTGAGAAGTAGCTTCAAGGTAGTATTACAAGTTAATTTTTTTTAATTCTGCTTTTAGTGTAACTTAGTCCAGCTTATGTACAATGCAGAAATTCTTTGTGTCCTTAAAAGCAGCTGCTGTTCTTGCTGACTTGTTAACACTGACCCCAAAGCATCAATTTTGAGTGGGGTATTTCAATATTATTATATTGAGCAAGGATGGTGTTGCATGTAAATGTCAAAATGTGAGTGCTTTATGTTGGCCCGATGAAAGACTCTATTTAAAATATAATACATAGTAAAGTATTTATCAGAGGGGACAAGTTATGAAAGCCATGGAATAAATGTTTTCTCAGCTGTACAAAATAGCATTTGAAATCATAAAACTTTCACTTATAAATTGACTTAATTCCTTTACTAATCTGTTGCTAGTTGTGGCCACAGAAGAAGTTGTGACTGCAGAATCTGTGGATGGGGCCATTCAGCAAGTGGTCAGTTCTGGAGGTCAGCAGGTTATTACCATAGTTACAGATGGCATTCAGCTGGGTAACCTGCATTCCATTCCAACCAGTGGGATAGGGCAGCCCATCATTGTGACCATGCCAGATGGGCAGCAAGGTGAGTGCACACTTGTGATTCCAGCTTGAGGAACTGTTTTAGCTACAGTAATAATAATGACTTTTTAGGTGCAAATAGCTTGGACCATTTTGTTTACTTCTATGAATTCTTATATTAGAGAAGGCTCAGACACAAACCTCTGCAGTTCAGTGGGTTAACATGTCAGCTGAGCCTCTGCTTTAGGAGAGAGAATAGAAGAGTTACTAAACTATGGAGGAGACATGGGACATTTAACATTGCTTTACCTTCAGTAAGTTTGATTTTTGCAAACTTGTTACAGAAACTAGATGATGGAGTAAAACAAAGACCTTCTTCTAATTCTTACACTATTGCATTACTGGAAATACTGTGGGGAGGTGAGGCTTGGATTTAGAAATCTGATGCATTAAGCAATGTGTGCAGGTCCCATGGAGTGTCAGTACACTGACACACTGACCTGACAAATGTCAGGTCTTACATGCCTGAGGTTTTAGAGCAGCACTGACAGAAGCAGTGAAGCCAGAGTGACACAATTGTTTTTTTGGGGCCATATGTACTTTGTAGAAGCTGCTAGTGTGATAAACCGTTTTTTGTGATGTGTAGGCTTTGGGTGGTTTCTTTTAAAGATCTCCTGGCACTGTTTAGATAAAAATGATCCCTTCTCTGGTTTCTTCATGAGGACTCCCAGTGTGAAGCTGGAAGAGTTGTACACAGGAGGCAAATTATTTGGCTCACAGTCTGCCTGAGCTAGTACACCTTGTTGTCATTGAGTGAGTGGCTGTAGATAGCTACTGAGGTGACAGTTACATTTATTTACCAGATGGCTGTGTAAGGAATTAGAGTATGACTTTACTAAGAACTCTGATTTTCTTATTAATGGCTAATAACTACTGGATTTTTAGATTACTTAATGTGTATTAATCAAAACAAAAGATTTGTATTTAGTATTTATTCAAGAAATATTATCTAAATGGTCTGCTGTGGAAGTTGAGAGTTGACAGGCTGGTGACTGCTGCAGTCCTCTGCCATGTCTGTTTACTCTGTGAAAAATGGCAGTGATATTCCAGAGCTAATTACTGTAGGCTTCAACAGTGAGGAATTTTGAAGTTCTTAAGTAGCATACAAACGAAAATTTTTAGTAGATTTTCACTGAGCTTATCATGCACTTTATTTTATAGATATGTTTTCACAAGAAAAAGTATCTGCATTTTTTGCTTATTTAGTGTAAATATTGTTTGAAGTAAATGTATTTACATGTACAAATACATTCTCAGTGTTAACAGTTCCAGCAACAGACATTGCTGAAGAAACTGTAATAAGTGAAGAACCGCCAGTGAAGAGACAGTGCATTGAGATTGTTGAAAATCGTGTGGAGTCTGCAGAAATAGAAGTAAGGAGTATATTACGTGATCTGTGTTGAACAGTGTTCAGGACTGAGTATCTGGTTATGCCTTTTGTATTGTTCAGGAGGTTAATTTCTGTGTTGCTGCAGAATGAATTGTGTGAAACATTCAACTTGTTCAGTCTCTCCTGTAACTGAAATTCATCTTTTACAAAGTTGTTGTAAAAAGAAAATAGGAGGGCTGTTTGCTTGATCCTGTGGTCATGCATGTAAAAGTGACACTTGCTTAGGTATATGAGAACTTTTTTTTTTTGTTTTTCTTGAAGATCACTAGCTGGTTTTTAAAACTGGGTGCTGGTACGTTATCGAGTGACTTGACTTTTTCCACTAGGAGTGAATGAGAGCACTGTACCCTCATCTTTCTGTTACAGCCACATGCTTCTGATTGTGAGATCATTTTTAGCAATGTTTCCTTTCCATTCATGGTATCTAGATAACTGTTGATGGAAGTGTGAAACAGTAAGATTCTGTGTTTGTTAATTTTTATCTGTGTGGTGTCCCCCACCTTTTTTTTAAATTTTGAAGCAGTTGATTACTACACAACTTTGCACCATCTGTTTTTTTTAAAACTATACTGCAAAAGACCTAAGAAATGTTAAGAGCTCTTTCCTTTTTATATGACAAATGGATGTAGCTGTTCAATTTAAAATTGTAGCTTTTTTTATACTAGCCACAAAAGGTCAACCATCTCATTCCTTTTCCTGTTACTTCTAACTGTGCTGACCAGTTTTGGTCAAAAGTTTATGAAAATTGCTGTCTGCTTTGACTAGACTGTAAGTTCTCATTTTGTCAACTCCATGATATTTCATTTATCAAAGGTTGTATTCTCCAACTTCTGTTCATATTATCAAATTGTGCCTAATTGAATACTTTTTGTTGTACAGTATGTGCTATATGTTATCCATGTCTAATAACAATAATTACCACCTCTCATCATTTATTTTCCATGTCCCTAAGTTGTTGCATCAAATACTTTTGGTCTTTGCAGCTTTGTGGTCATTACAGATTATCCTGACAGTTGAAATTTTCTTGCTGCATTATTTAAAATGTATGACTGTTACAATAAAAGCATTTCTTTTGTTCACACTTTTAAAAATCTGCCTGAATTATTCATAAAGGAAATTACATTTCCTTAAGTATTTTAGTAATTCTATTAAATGAATTTTTAAAAAAATCCAGATTGGTTAAGGGATAAATTGACCTGTTCTTAATTACAGATAATTGGTATAAAAATCCCCAATAATTCTTTTAAGGGGATTACCAGTTTTATTTATATATATTAAACATATTTCTCAAATATTGAAAGAAGTTGATTTAGATGAGTTACTTGGTCTGTTCCTTTTAAGTGGAAGTTTTGATGACTTTCTTGCCCCTGCCTGTACAACTGGAAGTGCACATGCAGACCTCTGCCTCTGTGTGAAGGCCAGCTGTCTTTAGGGGCCTTGCTGTGGCTCACAGGGGTAAGGTGCTGCCTTACTTTAGTAGCAGTGGATACTCTACTAAAGAAGTGCGCACAAAGTTGGTTCACTTTAAATTTCTTCATCACAGACAGTGGTAGATATTTAAATTTGGAGTGGGACCCTTCCCCTCATTAAATATTTAAAAATATTTTAGAATGTGGAAATGCAGAAAACTTTTGTTTTCTTTGCCTCACTCTAATTCATTCCTTTATTTTATTATAAAGGTTGATTCAAGCCTGAATGCTTTTTTCAGCTGTTTTAAGTTCATAATGTGTGAACAGTTTACTGTAGTTTGAAAGTTTTTGTAGTTGAAAATCCTCTCATTCATGTGAGGTGACCAACTTTCCTGAGAAAGTATTGTGGAACAACTAAAGCTGTAGTGGTGTTTTTAAATTTTCTATTCCAGGTCTGTTAAGTTAAAATGTTTCAGCTCATTTTGTAGATTGACAGCAGTTTTCCTAAGCAGTTTGATATTTTAAACATGGGATGGCAGCAAAAAAACCCTGTCACATAGATATTCTGTTTTTAATTTTCATGCATAGTTCATTAACACATAGTGATCTTTATTTTCATTCTTTAATTTGACTGTTTCTCCCATGTTCCATGTTTGAAAGGTGACATGCATTAGAACCAGGACTATCATTTGATTAGACTAAAAAATAATCATAATTGTAAACTAATTATATTCATGGATTCATATCCCGTGTCTGTGTGTTGTTTAAAAGAGTGGTTGATTATTTTAGTTATGGGTGTTCCTATTGTCAATGAGAATTACATGTATGAAGAAAATTCCCTGGTAAAATGGAAGTTTTCTTTAGAACACTGAGCATCCTCTAATTTGATTTTTATCTGGGTAGGTGATACAGAAGGACTCCAGATCTTTAGAACACTTCTGGTTGTGTTCTAAAGAATGTCCCAAGAACATTTTCTGGGTTTGATTAAGTTGGTAGATGAGATAATGTCCTCTCTATACTACATATCAAAGTTAAAGAAGCAGTTTTGACCATTGAGTCCACAGCAGATATGTGTTGCTCCTCCAGAAACACTGGGCTCTTTCCACTGCCTAATCACACAGAATAGTTGGCTTCATCTCCGTAACTCATTCTGTTTGTTGGGACTGTGACAGTCTAAAAGCTACACCTGTTAGCTGCTGAACTAATCCATGTGCTTTGAATTGCTGGTCTGTCTGGTAGATACTGGTTTTATCTTTTGGCCATGCCTTGGAGACTTGGGGTTTTTCCATTTTTTCTTACCCTTTCCTTAACTGCTGTAGTGCTGTACCGCTTTTGGGTATGCAGCTCTAGTTCTCTTCTGTGGGAAATACTTTTAAAATGTTGTTCAAGAACCTCCCCACCCCCAAATGTTTGCAGTGTGCACACTCCACAGCAGTGATTCCATCCCCAAATGTTTGCACACATTCCATAGCAGGGATAGCCCCTTGCTGTTTGTAATGCACCACAGGAATTCTTGCCAGTGAATACCAATGGTTCTTATTTCTGTGCAGGCCAGCAGACACAGCAGCTTTGCTTCTTGACAGTATTAGGTTTTTGATGGTTTTTATGAGACCAGTTCATGGGAGAGATAATGGCTAGCTCAGTACATCCCAGCCTTCAAAAAGGAAAGGCTGCTTTCCACATGTGGAAGGATCAACTGTTTTGACTAATTTCCTGGAAATTTTCTTGTAGCTCTGTTCACCAAGGCTCTAATCCATGAGGCTGTTTTACATAAGCTGTTGGTCCCCTCATGCTACAGAGAGAACTTTTGGAAATGGTAGTAAGTTTTGGCTGGGCTGGTGCTGGAGGATCATTGGTGTGTTTCAGATCCTCTGAGGTGGAGGCTCTGCTGTTCATTTGGCATCTGCCAGGCTAGTTGCTACATGGGCTGACCATCCTTAAAGTTGCCTTAAAAGCAGAATCCAATTTTTCAGAGCTGGAAGCTGAACTTCTTTTCAAATAAGTAGGCAAAATGAGATGAGCTCTCATTTTATTAGCATATGCTCCAAATGAAGCAAACCCTAGCCTGCCGCCTTCAGCTCTTAAAACCCCTTGAAAAATCAAGTTGCACTTAATGGAGTTTGTTCTGTGTTCTAGCTAGTCTCTTTATAACCTGTTAATATCATCTTCACCTGTTGTTTTTGCTGTTCAGGTGCTGCTGTTTGCAATGATCTGACCACCTCTGTCATTGTATTTAAGCACATTCTGCTGACATGTAACTGCTAAATGTGACTGTGACAAGTACTGAGAACAGTAGCAAGTAGAAGGGAGGCAGAGTATTTTTGTATTTTTCTGACCATGAAAATATGTGAGCGCATCAGAGAAGAAGAATAGGGATGCTCTTAGGGGAGTGTGGGGGGCTAGAACTTCTAACAGCTGTTAGAGGTATTAAATGGGAATGTGATATTGAAGTGCTGGGATGGGAATGTGGTGAAAAGATGACTTGCTTTCACTGGACCTCAGTTTTTTGATAAGTTGTTTCTCTGGGAGATGGCTTGTTTCTCTGGCAACCTTCCTTACTGTTCCTACTTAACTACAGTGGAAAGAATGATTTTAAATCCAATACTGCCTTACTCATAAAAGTATGATGCACTTCAATGAAATATTATTTGATTGAATATTTGATCAAAACAAAACTATTTCCCAAGCAAATTGCTTTTTCAATTGGGCTCAGAGCAACATCAGACAAAATGACAGTACCTGCATCACTGGAGATGGAAATGTTAGATGGAATGCCTTAGTTTCTAAGGCAGCTTCAGAGGATGTGGCATTTCCTGGATCATTTTGCTTGGAAACCATTTTGTATCCACCCCAGCAAACTTGTATGCAGGATTTCTGCAGTTACTTAAGGATTTCTTTACTAGCTGCTTTTAAAAGGAAAAAAGCTTATCTGGCTAATTGCCTGTTAATTCATAAAGATATGGTGTCCTTGGGGGTGTGATTACACCTCTGGATTGCAGAGTATCAATCCCTGTTTGGAAACAGGTTGATGATTTTGGTTTTTTAACGTTTGGTTTGTGCTTTGGTCAGTGGGCAGCTGACGCTCCAGTGCGGATGGCTGACAGGTAACAGCTTGTCATTTTTACTGTCTGATTAGGTATGCAACAGCAAGGGACAAGCTGTTAGATTGAATGATTGGAGAAATGTTAATATATTCTGTTAGTACTTAATCACCATGCTTCCGCTTTTTTCATTTAGCTCTTGGTTGGTGAAGATTTGCATGGTACCTCTGCAGCTCAGTAGACTGGGGTTTACTCTCTCCACGCTTGCAGCCCTGTGTGGGGAGTTGGCTGGTTGATAATTGGGGTCTAATTTGCACTGCAGCATTCATACAGGTTTGCCCGAGTAAGAACTGAACAGCTTCTCCATGATCCCCTAACACTTGAACTGCATGTAGAGGGAAAAGTATTTGCCATTTTAGCTTGTGTTTGATACTTATTTGACAAAATATTGCTGGTTCTGTTTCTAATAGGAAAGAGAAACTCTTCAGAAACAGCTGGATGAGGCAAACAGAGAAGCACAAAAATATCGTCAGCAGCTTCTAAAGAAGGAACAAGAAGCAGAGGCCTATCGGCAGAAGTTAGAGGCAATGAACCGCCTCCAGACTAATAAAGAAGCTGTTTAATAAAAAATGAACACACTGCAAAGCCTGTTACTTTCAAAAACCTGCAGTACAATCTTGAACTGTACACTATATAGGTACAGCCATGGGATTTCATGATAGAGAAGATGCTACAAGTTGATAACTGGACTTAAGCCGTGAGCTCTGATTGATTTCTTGTAACATAAAAACTCTGAATTTAGAAATTGTGAAAAGTATTTAAAATTAAATACTGTAAATAGTTGGTTTTTTTACAGTTTCAAAATTAGTTGATAAATCTTTTTGAAGGGATCCAGAAACATGAAAAGCCAATGTTTTTGTGAAATTTTTGATTTTAGTATGAATCTAACTTCTGAAAAACAGAACAGTTTTAAGGGTGATGTTGATTTAAGCTGACAATTTGAAATTTGATTATGTGACAAAATTAATTAACAGTTATTTCTACATGATAACAGCTCAACTTCTCTGAATAAGACATTTCCAGGTGGAAATCTTTGTACAGCTTTAAGTAGTTGTCTCAGATTCTCTGAAAACCATTTTGGTTGGTTTTTTTTTTTTATTTTAGGTGGTGAAATTTTTATATTTAATTTCAGATATATCCAAGTAGATTTACATGTATATGAAGCTAATATTTTTTAAACTTTTCAGTTTGTACATATGCTGCATGTTTTTATAATTTCTACACATACATCTTGCATAGGTATTTTTCAGCAAAGATGAGAAAAATTATGAGAAAAATGTTTAGCCTATAGGTCATTTGAAGTAAGCTAGCAGCCAGTTTTATTGTGGATGGTATATTTCTTGGAAGAATGTAATTTGTAATTAAGAAGAACAAAAAAGTATCATAATTTACATATTAAGAGGCAAAATTTGGTAGTGGAGATGTTGGAAGTTCATTTTGTGTGTCTTACGATTTTCATGTACAAACATTTAAAGTTCAGTCATGAATAGAAAAGAATGTCTCCACTGGAACACAAATACTAGCTATTTTAGAATATCCCTATTGGTCTCTCTTCCCCCATAGCCTTGAAATTACTTCAGTGATACATTTTTTTTAACGGACTTTTGCATTTTAATTACGCAATTGGACGAGTAATTTTTTTATGTTGTAGTGATGCTCTTCCTAGCCAGCATCATTGTTCCTCACTGTGATACTGTGTTTGTGTGTGTCTGTGCAGTGATCTATTATGCTTAAAATTTATATGGCACGTTACATCTTCAGAGCATTGTAAAATCTTTTAAAGAACCCTTACTGCTCTGCCTGAGGCAGGTAAGTGAGTGTTATTGTCTCAATTTTATAACTGGTTTAAGTGCAACATGAGGGAGTGTTAAATGACTGGCTTACCACCACGTGATCTGTGGTCACCTGGGGATGGATCTCAGGAGTTCCTGGCTTCTAGTCCTGTGCTTAGACTGAGCTGCCTTAAGATTGTTCAGTGCTGTGTTACATTAAATTTTGAACTACTGTGCAGATCCGTTTTTTGTAAGATAAAACTCTTTGTGCTTTGCTTTGTTGTTCCATGTTCACTGCTTTTATGGAATTGTTTATATAAACTTAAGCGAAAAGTCTGGTTTATCTATACTGTACACGGAAGAATTACCCTTAAAACTGTACTCTGGCCTACTTTTTCTATTTTACAATTAAATATCTTTTCCACATATATATAGTGTAGAATCAGTTCAATTGCTTTGTGTGTGAATGAGAAGGTCAAAGCTGTTCTGTGTCAGACATCTGGAAAAACATGAAAAAACCAGTTGTGGGTATAAAATGGCCTTAAATGGTAGGAGGGAGGAATGGGGAAAGAATTACATTGTACTGTACAAAACTTCATCAAACTGGTCAAAATTTGACTTGAGTTTATAGATTTGGCAGTTAGGAAAAATTCTAAATATATTTGTATTGTTACATGTTTGGTAAGTTTGATTTTGATTGGCAAATTCAAACTAAAAATAATCAAAAGATAGAAATGGGAAATCTATGGTGGTGAGTTTTAGAAGAATTATTTTCAAGGACATCATCATGTTAGTACTAGGACTTGAAGCAAACCTTGTGCAATGGTTAACTGGAAATTGCTCTATTTTAGGGATTTTTTCAGGAACTACCCATTATGTCATTAGCAGATTGAGGAACCAGTTAGCCAAGGGAAATGTGCTGCTTAGACATTGCTCCAATGAATTATTTTGTGATGAAAATAATGTTTGTGTCCTCACATCCCACACATTTAACAACAGTGTAATCTCTGTGATTTCTTACTAACGATAAGAGTGGCACTGTTTGAATGGTGATAGTGGCAGCATCCAAGTGGAGAGTTTCCCACGGTTGTGACAGCAGATGTTGGCAGCAAACAATGAAATGAACCTTTTCTATTCATTCTGTTTCCTGTGAGCAAATATTCTATTCCTCATTGTCCATAACAAAACCCTTCAGAGTGCAGCGTAGCTATAACAAAACCTTATTTATCACCAGCAATATTTACCCTGCCTGTAATCCATTATCAGCTATTTTATTTTAGTTCCGAACGGGACCTGCTGTTTGTTCTCTTCTGCACAGAACAAGAGATGAACCCAATGAAGCTGTCACCTTTGAGCTAAAGTAGGGTATATGTTACATGAAATATTTCTTATATAGTTTAGTTCTGAAAACATTGTTAAAAATATTGTTCCTTATTTGCTGTTCCAAATTAAATACATAACGTAATTAGCTACCATCTGTTTCTTTGAACAGCTGTCCATATATATTAGCATATTCATCACTTGTAATGAGCTAAAATCAGGGGTTTTGAGAACTTTGGGATCATTTTGAGTTGGTCCTGTGCTTGATGCTTGTCCCTTCTTAGCTTGTTCCTCTGTGGGATCATTTACAGTACAGCCAAGAGATGTTCATAAATTCCTATTAAACACATGGGCAGCTCATTACTTTTTTCCTGTTTCCAGAGCAATATGAGATAAAACAGATGAATACGCAGTAGTTTTTTGCACTTCTCTCAATGCCTTTTTATCAGTTTGGGGTTTTATTTCAGTACATTAATCTGATATGTGTGTGTCAGAGCATCTTTCTCATATCTATAAAACAGTTCCTTCTCAAGTATCTATTTGCAGCAGAAACTAGAAAAGGTTTCACACTGTTCTGTAGACTGTGTGTGAGAACAATGTAAAAACTTTCTAGAACTATGTAAGTGGTTGTGCTTGCATTAGAGTACCTGGGGCAGAGAATCAAAGCTGCTCTGGCAGCCTGTTCTCTCCTGTGGGAGAACAACAAAACTGCTGGGAGGTATCAGACACAGTCTGCCTGGCCTAGCATCCTTTCTCCAGCAGGGCCAGCCCCAAGCAGGAGCCTAGGGTATGGCAAAAATAGGGAAGAATGTATTGTATGGGAAATAATTTCTGTTTCTGGTGATTAGTCCACAAGTCCTACCTCTTGTCTTTTCCCAGGGCTGCCTGATGCAGTGTAGAGCAAGTGAAGATGGATAAGGATTCAGCATTGAGTAGTGTCAAAGATTGTGCTGCCAGAGAGAGGTCAGGTGTTTTCAGGTCCTAAAAGGGGAACAAGAGGCAATCTGTAAGGATGTTCTTTGAAACTGAGAGCAATCCAGGTGGAGGAGTTGGAGGAATTCTGGAGAAACAAGACTAAATCCCAGTGCTTATGCATATCATACAGGAGAAAAGAAAGCACAGTGAGGGAAGAGGTGCTTTTTCCCAGCTCAGTGGTCTAGGGTGATATCCATGGAGGAATATCACCTCCATGGATAGTGTAACCTGCTCTGCTCTGATCTGAAGGGCAGGAAATCCACAGAGGATCATTGCTGCTTCACATTGTAGTTCTGGAACTGGCAATAGCTGTGAAGCCTTTTCTTCTAGCAGCATGGGACTGACAGCATAAGGACAGAACACTTGTGGGGAAGCACAATATTGGAAACACTTTCTGGGAAAAAAAGAGTTCTCAAAACAGTTCTTAGGAAAAGTTCCTGTCTCCCATATCAAATTTGTTCTGTGCTGGTACCTTGTTTTCATGGCTACTGCTAGCACAGTAGTCGGGTGTGCTGGTGTAACATCTGCTAGCTTTTATTTGGTTTTGAAAGCTCTTGAGCTTTTTCTGTCCCACAAGTATCATGTTAATGTGCCTTATATCCATGGCATGGATTACTGTGAGACTTCTGAAAGATTGATTGAAAATGGGAAAGTGCAGAGGCAGCTCCTCTTAGTGATACACTATCTTACACATCAAAAGAGCACAGATGAGAACATGAGAGATTGTAAAAACCCTCAGCTGGGAGGAGTTAGATAAACACTCACCAATGACCCGCCTGTTAAACCTTTTCCAGAATGTGTGAGTCTGAGAGATAAAGGGAGCTATAAAGGAGGAAGCAGCTGGCAGGGCACCAGACCAAACTGACCACAGCTCCCAAAAGGTTGTGGCCCAGGTTTGAAGAGCTGCCTTCCTAAGGAATCAGTATGGAGCCTGAGGAGTACAGACAGAGAGGTGAGTGTTCTGTGGCTCTTGCAAATAGGTAACATTTGCTCGTGGAAATCAACTGTTGTAGGGCTGTGAGTGATATCCAAAATTAGGATGGGCTATATGCTCTTTAAATGTGCACTTTGCCTTGAGACTTGGATCTGCTGAGGCAAAAATGTGTCCCAGGTTGAGTTTAAATGAACAGATTTAGAGTCTCTGGGTAACAGCCTTTTTGGTCTTACATCTAAGATGCTGTGGGAAAGCTGCAAAACTGTAATTCTGAATAAACTTGTGCTAAGGGGTAATGCAAAATAGCTTTTCACTGGCTTCACACCCTGAGACTGCAGTGGTACTTGGACAGTTCTGGAGATGGAGAGCCAACTTTGGTTGCAGGGCTGGAGGAGATTGCCTTAAAAGGTGGAGAAAGGGTGTGGAGCGATGCAGCTGATTTCAGAGGATGTGAAAATGGGTTTGCTTTAATGACAAGGAAGTGTAGGACATTATGAAAATTTAATTCCTGTGAAATGCAGAAAATCTGTACTTTCAGTAACCAAACAAACTGTACTTGTACCATGACTGTGT